TGTTGTTGTTGTAGTTGTTGTTTTTGGTTAGGTTTTTGGTGTTTGTGAGGGTGTTGGTGTTGGTGTTGTCATTGCTGCTGCCGTTGTTGCTGTTGAACTTTCATTTTTCAATATTAAGTATTGTAGATCCCTCCTTAGGCGCACATCGTAGTCTTCCAACTGAAGTGCCCCTCTCAGGGTTCGCACCTGGCTTTTTATTCGGGAAAGTCTTGAGGGTGAATCTGCTTCCTGGCCCCAGTGCCACAGAAACAACGGCTTCCGCCGAAAACTTTCTTGCAACGTATTGTGAAATGGCGCTATCGCTCGGGAGCACCTCGCAATTCACGCAGGACTCGCGCTCTCGCGTGGGACTTCCTCAGGACGTTTTCAAACGCCGCGCCCTCGACGCTCAGGAATCGCGCCCTCGCTTCTGTATTTCTTGCGATTCACTTGGGAATCGCGCTATCGCTCGAAACCTTCTCGCGATTCATGCGGTATTCACGCTGCAGCAGCCCGTCAGCTCGACCTGGCCGCCTGGGCCCGCCTTCCCGACCCGCGTGTTAGTGTTTACCTGCCTGATCAGCTCGTCTGCTTCTGCCACGTGTTTTCTGCTCCTGGCCTCCATCTTGTCAATCCCGTGCCCCATCCTTCTCCCTCCCCTTTCCATCCGTCCTGTCTTCCCTTGTTCGAGAGGCTTCGCCAATTTCACGCGTCAGTTGAGGAAGATCTACTCTCAAGGAGGTACGATCGAGGACAACGATTTCGGGTATCGATGGTTTGGGATTTACGTGTTGACCTGGCGCGCGAGCAGATAAGAGCGAACAGTCTCAACATGATGTTGGCACTCTCATTTCTGAAGACAATTGTTGTTGATCCCCTTTCCCCAGTAACCATTTTATGTTTCAAAGTGAAGTGCTCGTCCCGGGGTTCGCACTCATTTTTTTACCAGGGAAAGCGAGTGTCACCAAATTGCGCCCCTGGCCCCCAGTTTACAATAATAACGGCCTCCGCCTGATACATCCTCACAATTTGTTATCAAATCGCGCTCTCGCGTCGGACCTCCTCGCAATTTATTCAAACGCTTCGCTCTCGACACTCCGGGACCACGCTCTCACTGTTGACTTCCTCACGATGTATTTGGGAATCGTGCCGTCGCTTGAGGCTTCCTCGCGGTTCATGCAGGACGCGCGCTTCAGAAACCCGCCTGCTCGAGCTGGCCGCCCGGGCCCGCCTTCCCGACCCGCCTGTTAGGGCCTACCCGCCCGATCTGCCTGTCTGGTTCTGCCACGTGTTTTCTGCTCCTAGCCCCCCTCCTGCGACTCTCTCTCGTGCTCCATTCCTCCTCCCTCTCCCTTGTCCCTGCCTTCCATGAATCCACTCTTCTCCTGCATTCAGGGCTGCACGAATACACGTTGCAAGTAAGACAGATCTCCCCCCAAGCAGAAACGATCGAAGACGAAGAAGGTGGGTATCGAGGGTTTGGGATATACGTGTTGCATGGCACCCGAGCAGATGAGAGCGAACAGTCTTACACTGATTGTTCTTGTTGTTGTTGTTGTGGATGTTGTTGTTGTCGCCGTCCCACCCGCGTCCGTGCCCGACACCCACCCGCGACCCACCCGCGACCCACCCGCGACCCACCCCGCGACCCACCCCGCGACCCATCGCGACCCATTCGCGACCCACCCTCGACCCATCCCCGACCCGCCAGCGACCCACCCGCGACCCATCCCGCGCCCGCGACCCATCCTGCGCCCTGGGTGCAACATTCATAATCACAGGATTCAGGTTTTCTCGCCGAGGCCACTTGGGGCGTCTTGTGATGCCTCTTGGGGGTCTCTTGGGAGCCTCTTGGGGTCTCTTGGGATCCTCTCGTGGCATCTTGGAGGCCTCTTTGTGCTTCTTGGGGCCTTCTGGGCACCTTCTGATGCAGTCTTGGGGCACCCCTGGGAGCCTTGGGGGCCATCTTGGGGCGTCTTGGAAGAGATCGATCAAAGGATGGGAACTCTTCACTTTGGGTCCCCCCCCAAGGAGGCCAACATGTAGCCAACACCGTCGTAACCTACTTCATGTTGGTCTTCTCGCCGAGGCCTGCTGGGGCGTCTTGTGGTGGTGCCTCTGGGGGGCCTCTAGGGGCCTCTTGGGGGTCTCTTGGGAGCACCTGGGGGGTCTCTTGGAAGCCTCTTGGGGCCGTCCTGGGGCACCCTTGGGAGCCGTGGGGGCCATCTTTGGGCCATCTTGGAAGAGCTCGATCAAACGAAAGGGGCTCCTGCATCCGTGTGCCTCCTCCAGGAGGCCAACATGTGGCCAAAGCCTTGATAATATCAATGGTTTTGGCTTCATCGCCGAGGCCAGCTTGCACGGTCCAACGAACCGCGCCACCCCCCTCCAGACCCAGGGTGGGGGTAGGGGGAGGGGTCAAGACGCCCTCCCCGCTCGCAAGCTGTCTCGCTCACTCCCACCCGCCCTCCAAAAACATTGTCGCACCCCGGCCACGGCATGTTCAGCGGTCATCTATAGATGGGCAGCTGATGGCAACAAGTACAGACCCCATGTGCACGATGGGGCGAGGTGCGCCACGCGTGCCAGACGCTTCAGGTGTGCCGGGCACCCTTGGGGGCCCAAGCGTGCCAGGTGCGTCTCGCGCGTCAGATGCGCCACGTGCTCCACGCGCGCCATGTGTGCTGCATGGTCCAGCCGCGCCAGTTTCACCACGCCAGGTGCTCCCGCGCACATGACAGCACACATAGGGAAACATGTTCCCCCCCACCATCACTGTCGAAAACCAGTGCGCAATCGGGGCGCGTGGCCATCATGGTGCCTGGCGGGCTGTACACAGCAGGCAATATGCCTGCACCTCCGCGGTCCTTGTCAAACGCCAGTGGACAGTGATCGCGGGGTGGAAGTGCATGTTCCCCTATCAGAGCTTGCCTCTGTAGGGGTCCTAGCGGATTTATATAGGTGAGGTTCGTCGCCGATTTCGGTGGCCAGCCCCGGTGCCCGGGTGCCGGGGTGCCCGGTTGCCAGGGGTGCCCGGGTGCCCGGGTGGATGCCCGGGTGCCCAGGGGTGCCCGGAGGTGCCCGGGGGTGTCCATAAGTGCCCGTGGGTGCCCGGGGGTGCCCAGGTGCCTTGGTGCCCGTGTGCCTGGTAGCCCTATAGCCCTGTAGTTTTATAGGCCTTATCGCCCTATAGCCCAAGAGCCCTATAGCCCTATAGCCCTATAATCCTATAGACCTATATCCCTATAGCCCTGGTAGCCCCATAGCCCTGTAGCCGTATAGCCTTAAAGCCTTATAGCCCTATACATATTTTGCCTTGTAGCCCTATAGCCCTGCAGCCCTATAAACCTATAGCCGTATAGCCCTAATAACCCTATAGCCCTGTAGTCCTAATAGCCCTTTAACCCTATAGCCCTATAGCCCTATAGCCTCACAGCCTCATAGCCCTATATAGCCCTATAGCCTGATAGACCTATATCCCTACAGCCTTATTGCCCTATAGCCGTCTGGCTCTATAGCCCAATAGCCCTATAGCCTTATAGCCCTATAGCCCTGATAGCCCTACAGCCCTATAGCCCTATACTATATCCCAATAGCCCTATAGCCCTGAAACTATGATTGAATCGCTTCGCTCATTCCGCCGGCCCGTGATATGGCATCGCTGGTTTTTGTCTGTGTGTTCGTTGCCCATGTTGCGCTCTTGGGGGCGGGTGTCGTTCGGACGCGTTGCGTGGGGAGTTTTGATGGTGAAGCAGTTCCCTGGGGGTCGTCTCTCGATGGGGCGAAATAGAGTCGTCGTCAAGATGCTTCTTTGGGGGGCCTCTTGGGGTCTGTTGAGAGGCCGTTCGGGGGCGCCTGGGAGACATGTTTGAAGCCTTCTGGGGCTTCTTTTGGGCCTCCTGGGAGTCTCCTGGGGCCTCTTGGCGACATCTTGGGGCCTCTTGGAGGCCTCTTGGGGCCTCTTTGGGACCTCCTGGGCGCCTTCTGGGACGGAGGGCTCCATTTTTGAGTTCTCGGTATCCCTCCTGAGTCCCTCTTGGGCCCGTCTTGGGGCCTCTTGGTCCGTCTTGGGCGGCACTTGGGCCGTCTTGAGGGCTCTCTTGGGTCGTTTCGGCGCCGTCTTGGGAGCTTCGTGGGCCGTCTTGGAGCGGTCTTGGGGGCCTCTTGGGCCGTCTTGGAGCGTCCGGAAGCCGAAAAAGCCAGAACACAAAAAACATGGAAAAAACCAATGAAAATCAACGATTTTGGCCTCTTGGGGCTCTCTTCGGAGGCCTCTTGGAAGGCTCTTGGGGCGTCTTGGAGGCCTCTTGGGCTGTCTTGGGGGCCTTTTGGGCCGTCTTGGGGTCATCTTCGGCGTCTTCGAGCGCTCTTTGGGCGTCTCGGGGGCCTCTTGGGCAGTCTTGGGGGCCTCTTGGGGCACTCTGAGCGCGCTCTGGGGAGCCTGAGAGGCCGCACCCAGAAGGAAAACCATCTCTGAGTAGACTTGGTCGGGCGGCGGTCGGGCGGCGACCGGGCGTTGGTCGGGGTACTTTTCGCCGGGGGACCCCCAGGGGCCGCCCCGCGCGCGCGAACTAGAAATACTGTTAATACTGTTAACCAGTTACCGGAGATCTTAGCACGCCCTGGCCCGTTGGGCCGGCGAATTCATGGTCTTTTTTTCCGGTATCATTGTATTGTTTTTTCATGGTATTGGCCTCTCGCAAGGCAGGCAAGATGAGGGCACCCCCGCCGTCTTGGTCAGCAAACATAATACAGTGTTGCGGGGCCCACGAGCATGACCCAAGATTTTGCCCCAAAGTGTGATGGTTCGTATTGTCTTTTTGACAGGGCTGGGGTCGTATTGGTGTTTTTTGGCTGCTGGTCGCCTGGGGAGAGGGTGTTTAGTAATGGGGAAGAGTGGTAAACCCACCCCGAAGTGGAAGAAGGATTGGAAGAGGAAACGCTCTGAACCACTCACGCCCTGAGGGGCTGGTGGGATTTCTGGGCAAGGCACACGGCGACCACATTGCACGACAGTGCACATCACGGCAGTGCTGCGAAACATCGCGACCACCGGGCATAGCACGACGCAGTACCGTAGCGGCAAGGCGTTTCGCAACCGATTCATCGCATGTTTCGGCATGTCGCATGGCACCACAAGTGGCACCACGACGGCAGGACACCGTGCATGCGGATCCGTTTTTTGGCATGGGGCAGGCAAACGGGATAGGCAGTACTTTGCGGCATGGCGTTGCGAATCATGATTTCAAGTTCCGCTCAGACGGTTCATGACATTGGACAGCTAAACTCAATGTCGAGCAATATCTTGTTCGTTTGCCCTCCTTCTCTTCTTGCTTCATCTTCTGCTCCTCATCCCTGCTCACTTTCTCTTTCCCTCCCTCCCACCCCTGTCTCGAGCATGGCGGCGCATGGCGTTGTACCTGGCGCGGGGCGACCGACTTAGTTATTGAGCCAGCTGAAGTAAGCCAGCTGAAGTAATGCACCGCGCGGCGCCGCTGACTCCACACGGGCAACCGGATTCGCTTTTTGGCAGGTTTTGCCCTTCCCATGTTTCTCCTGTTCCTCCTTTATCCACCTCTCCCTCGGCAGGCCAGTGGCTCCACCAAGGCGCCCAGCTCGAGGCCTCCCGCGGAGAAGCCGCTGGTGGCCGAGGCACCGCTGCTCGCCACATGGAGTGAACACAGTTTCCCGCCCCCCAGTCTCTTAGGGGGATAGGTTGAGGGGAACTGAGGTGCAGGCATGCAAAGTTGTTGCATTCATGTTTCAACTCACATCCCCAACTTGGCATTTGCTTTGCTTCCGAACGTTCCCTGGCTGGCAGGACTAGGGAGTGCAAAGAGTGAACGCTTCGCCTGCGCACCCTCTCTGCACTCGTGGCGCCCCTGTCGAAGGCGTCCGCGGCGAAGACGCCGGTGCCGAAGGCGTCCGTGCCGAAGGCGTCCGTGGCGAAGACGCCGGTGCCCAAGGTGCCCGTGTCGAAGGTGCCCGCGGTGAAGACGCCGGTGGCCAAGGTGCCCGTGTCGAAGGCGCCCGCGGCGAAGACGCCGGTGGCCAAGGTGCCCGTGGTCAAGGTGTCCATCGCCAAGGTCCCAGCGGGTAGAGCGCCGCTGGGGGGTGGGCGCCCGCAGCCACAGAGACAATGGAAGGCGAAAGTATGTGAGAAAGCAGATTGAGGCGTCCCTTTGCAAGAACTTTGGCTTCGGCACCGCCTGTATCCGAGGCTATGCCTCCTCTCGGCCTCGCTCTGAGGCCCCGCCGCTTCCTCCCCCCCTTGTCTGCCTAATTCAAGCTTCGCGCCGCCCGCTTAGCTTGGACCGGAAGAGGTGCGCTCTCGACCCGCGTATCAAAAAGTGTGAAAGCATATTGACCTGAGGGACTCTCACTCGTACGATTGCTGTTGGCCTCTGGCAGACTTCTCGCGACCTGCGCGCTGGTTCGTCGACCAAACTGTGCTAGGGTGTGCTGTGCGGTGTCACTCTCGGTTGTGCAGTGCTGCACTGCTGCGCTGTTGTGCACAGTGTTCGGCTACCGAATGATCTATCAACTCATGAGTATGTTTCGTGTACACGCTGTCAAGCTATGCAGTGCTCTCGTGTTGTGCAGTCATGAAGTATATACACACATATATGTATGTGTGCGTACTTACATATACATATGTATACACACGATACCCCCCGCGCCCCCTAGCCCCATCGAGGCGTTTTGTATATCCGTTTGTCTTTCTCGTTATCTCTTGTTCCCTCATCACCATCATCAGCATCATCACCATCAGTATCAGCATCATCATCATCATCCTCATACTCATAATCCGCATCCTCATCCCCATCCTCATCCTCTTCCTCCTCCTCCTCCTCCTCCTCATCATCATCATGCTCATCATCATCCTCCTCCTCATCATCAGCGTCATCATCAGCATCTCGGACCCGAGATCCCTTTGCGCGTGCTGGTCAAAGAGAGAGCGCGCTGGGCCCCCCGCCCCCGACCCCCTCACCGTGTCGCGCGGGGCACGCCGCACGGCGCGTTCCACCCCCTGGCGAGAGGCGACCTTGCCGCCACGGGCCGCCGCCCACCCTCTGCCCTCGGCGGCGCTCGGCTGCCGACGGCCGCATCCTTAGAGCCACTTCGCCGCGCAAAGCCAGCGCGCCCGAGGTGCTTGACGCGCGCGGGGCTGGACGCGAGGAGGGCGGCTAGGCGAGCTTGCCGCTCTGCTCCCTCCTCTCCCCCCCTCCCCTCCCCTCCGAATTTGCGGATGCAGGGAGCGCTCCTGCCGGGGTCGCGCGAGGGGCTGCGGCGTCTCGCACAGTGCTGGTTTTGGAGTGGAGTTTAACAAAAAACAATCGTCCAAAAGCTGGGCCTTCTTCGCATGCACCCTCCCACGCTGGAGCCTCTTTACCCCTTCCCCTTCTTGCTCTTCACGCCGCCCGCCTTGGAGTCCAGCGGCTTCTTCACTTCCTTGGCCAGCCTCGACTGGGGAGCTTCGTCCTCCATCGCCTCCATATCTCGACTACACGTAAGAGTGATCTCTCGCCGGAGTGACCTTCGGTGCGGGCCCACTGGGGCCCCCCGATCGCCGAACGCGATGCGGCAGTGGCGTCTTGCGCGCTCGTGTTTGGTCCCCCCGCGGTCCCCCAAGAGGCCGCGCACCAAAGGTCACTCTTACCTAGGGTCACTCCTGCGTGTAGTCGATATCCACAAGCCTCAGCGCCTTCGTGTCCTTCAGCTCCTTTGCCATCGCCGCGAGCTCCGGGACGCCCTGGAGCGCAACGGACCCCTCCGCCTCGGCTACGACGGAGAAGCAGCGCGCAGCCCGCAGAGCCCGGTTGTCCTTCTGAGCCATCCCCATCTGGTTCATGCGCCCAGCACCTCGAGCGCCTTCTTGGCCGCCTCCGCCTGCCCTGGGGACTTGCTGCACCGCCGCCTGCGCCATGGACACGCCATCCTGCGAGATCGCCTCCGCCACTTTCCGCAGCAGCAGCCGGAGGAGGCGTCCGGTTTCTTGCCGTTGGGGTTGCCCCTGCATTCCTCGTCTTGGGCCTCGGCCGCCTCCCGCGCCTGCTTGCCGTCCTTGGTGTACTCTTCCAAGCCCTTGGACATCTGGGTCGCGACGACCGCGTCCTTCATCTGGAGCGCGACGTCATGGTCCCTGGCCATCGACCGCCTCTCGCCCTCGTGGATCAGAGCCCGCGCCGCCACGGCGTCGAGCAGCTTGACGTTGAGGTCGTCGTCCTCCGTGCCCTTCCGCTTGCGCCCCTCCTCCACTGCCATGGCCGCGCCTGCGGAGTCGTCCCCGAACATTGGCACTGTCCTGCGCAACTGCACCCGCGGACCCGTGAGCAACTCCAGGTTGGGCTCGAGCCACGACGGCAGCGGGCACGCCGAGCATGACTGCGACCTTGCTGCTGCTACCTCCTCCTCCTCCTCGTCCACTGCTGCTGCCGTGGCCGCTGGTGTCACATATTTCGATCGGTCCCCCGGGGTGACGTCTGGTCCGTGGTCGGTTCCCAGGCGTTGCTTTTCGATTTCAGTCAGAACCCAGATCTGCTCGCCCTCCACCTCTCCCATGTCCGTCAAGTCCTGTGCTTGGTCTGTCTTTGGACGTTGCGTTTGGGTTTCGGTCAGCCTCCAGATTTGCTCGTCCTCCCCCTCATCCTGGTCCAGCGTGCGGTCGGTTCCTTGACGGTGCGTTTGGAGTATGGGCAGTCCCCGCTCCTCCTTGCCCTTGTCCTCCTTCTGCTTCATTTCCTCAGCAGCATCATCATCAGCATCAGCATCATCAGCATTATCAGCATCATCAGCAGCATCAGCATCATCATCAGCATCATCATCATCATCATCATCATCGTCATCATCATCAGCATCATCACCAGCAGCATCATCACCACCATCACCATTATCATCATCACCATCATCATCATCACCGTCGTCGTCGTCGTCGTTATCCTCTGTTCCCTCGTCCTCCTCATCCTCCTCCACCACAAAGCTTGGGCAGTTTTTCTGCTGCTATTCTCAGTTTTTTGTGCATCGGTTGGGGAACCACCAACCGCTGCTACTCACAGGTTGTTCATTGGTAAATCTTTCAGTTGTTTTACAGACAGCGCCATGACGGCTTGCGGGAGGAGCGTGCCACCAAACGTTGCCATGCACAGCCTGTGTTTTTCGTTGCCCGATCTGGGAAGCCACCAAGCGCTGCTATTCACATGTTTGGTTTTGATTGTCTTCCAGGAGCTCTACAATCACTGGCGGGGAAACATTTGCTCATCCCCTGAAATTGAAACCACAACATAAAACCAGTGTGAATAGCATCGGTTGATGGTCTCCCTGTCCGAAAACAAACAATACACGAACACATGTGAATAGCAGCTTTTCGTGGCCACGCTCCGCCTGAAAGCCTTCCTGGCGCTGTTTCTGAAAGTCAAAACCAGGCACACTGTGAATAGCAGCTATTCGTGGTCTCCCAAACCGAACACAAAAGAACATGCGAACAGCAGCGTTTGGTGGTCATGCTCCTATGCCGCCCCGCCTCCTGCTCCTCCTCCTCCTCCTCCTCCTCCTCCTCCTAAAAAAAAAACCGAGCTTCGTGCCCTCCTCCTTAAAAAAAAAAAATCCTCCTCCTCCTCCTCCTCCTCCTCCTCCTCCCACACCCCCTCCTCTAGAAGGGGGGGAGGAGGAGGATGAGGAGGACGAGGAGGAGGAGGAGGAGGAGGCAGAGGAAAAGGAGCCAGAGGAGGACGACGAAAGGTAGGAGTACTCGGGGCCCGAGGACGTATTCGGAGCCTGTTGGCGTCCCAGGTGGCGCTCTCCTGGAGCGTTGTCGAGGCTCGTCGGGTGCTCTTTGGGTGCCTCTTGGGGCCAGTTTGGGGGCTCTGGGGGCCATCTTTTTTGGGGGGGGCTCCCGGGGCCTCTGCGGGTCCGCCTCCCGGGCCTCTCTTGGGTTTACTTTCGGGCCATGCCGTCTGCTGCGGGCAAGACTTATTGTAGTCGCCTCCGGCCAGTGCCGCCGATCTGGGGTGCTACCGATTCTGCTTGCAACGGAGGACATTGCATGTTTAAAAGAAGAGCACTCGCTCGAGACATCCTCATAAGATAGAGATGTTGAGCTCGCTTGGGCAACCGTCGGATATTCGAAAGTGACGACTTCTCCCTCCCGGGCCTGATCGGCGTCAGCCATGGCGTCACGGCTCCTTTCCTCCCCCCCTCCAGATCCCTCCCCTGGGCCTGAATGGCGTCTGCCATGACGTTAGCTCCCCTCCCCGACTTCCTCCTCCTGGGCCTGAATGGCGTCAGCCATGGCGTTCCCCCCCCCTCGCCTGCCCATGGCGTTCCCCCCTTCCCCCTCCTCCTCCCTCCCGTGCCTGAATGGCGTCAACCCCCCCCTCCTTCTTCCCCCCGAGCGAAGCCCCCCCCCTCCTCCCCGGGCCTGAATGGCGTCAGCCCCCCCCCCTCCTCCCTCCCGGGCCTGAATGGCGTCAGGCCCCCCACCCCCTCCTCCCTCCCGGGCCTGAATGGCGTCAGCCCCCCCCACCCACCCCCGACAGAGCGAAGCCCCCCCCCCACCCTCCTCCCTCCCGGGCCCGAATGGCGTCAGGCCCCCCCCCATCTATCCCCTCCTCCCTCCTCCCCATGGCCTTCCCCCCCCTCTCCCCTCCTCCTTCCTGGGCCTGCATGGCGTCAGCCCCCCCCCCGACAGAGCGGAGTCGCTGGCAGAGCTAGTACGGGAACCAGCTCGCGCACGTGTTGTCTTTGGGCGCTCTCGCTAGCTCTCCGGCGAACGCCCCCGGGGAGCCAGACCGTGTGGCCACGTCTCGAGGAGGGAGGGCCTCGCGGCCATTTGCCGGGCAGTGCCCACGGTCACTTGGCCACGGCAGCGCACGACAGAAGTTGGGTCGGGCCTGTCCCCCCACAGGGGGATTTTCGACGAACAATGTACAAATACAGCAAAAATAATCTAAACATAGTCCAAAAATAGTCTGGGGACTATTTTTTGAGTGCTTTTTGACCTTCTTGGGGTATTTCTGGGGCATGTTTGATTTTTCGTCGAAAATCGCCCTGTAGGGGGACGCCCGACATAAGGCAAAAGTGGTGTGGGGGCGTGCGCACGGCGCTGCGGGGATAGGGCGAGGACCCAGCAGCACAGGAACCAACGAGCCAGAACAAAATCTTGCCACGCATCGGTCGCGGCTCATCTCGTCGGGCCTCTCGCTCCAGCCGACGCTGTAGCCAGGAGCGGCGCTCCCCTGCCCATCCTGGTACGTCCAGTGTCTCCTTCGGTTGCTGCGTCTGCGTCGTCATTCGCTTCACCTTGTCCACCACCCAAATATCCACGTCTCCGTCCAGCGTAAACGTGCATCGCCGTCCCAGCACCGCCCCGAACATAGCTAGTTGTGTGTCTCTCAGTTTTCGAAACTCTCTGCTGTTTCCACACGGACAGTACAGCACGGCCAGGGTCACAACATAATGCAAACCATCCATTCGTTGTTTGGTAGTGGTTTGTCTGTCCAGTCTTCCAAGTACGCACCATTTTTTTCTTCTGCCAGGGCGTCAGCTCAGTGTCATTGGCGCTCGGTGCCGTGGGCGCTTGTCACCATTACGGGAGCGTTGGGGGGAAAGGACGGCATCCGTTCTAAGGACATTCTGATCACCCCTCAGGGTACTCTTGCATTTTGGTTTCGCATATGAGTCTGTTGCTGCATCGTCGCCTTGCAGCATGTGTGGTGCCCGCCCCCTCTTGATTGGTAGTCCTGTAGCTCGTCCTCGTGGTCTGGCTCCCTTTTCCTTTTTCCTCCGCCGCCTGTTATGCTCCTCGTTCCCCCCTCCTCCGCGTCGAACCATCATCCACCCATTCTCCTCCTCGTCCCCCCCCTGGACGAGGATGGAGGCGAGGTGTGTAATCTTTACGCGTGCTCTTTTAGGTACGGTCGTCTTCACTGCTCCTCCAGCCGTCCATTCTGCGCCTTCTCTTACGCTCGTGTTGGCGGCAAAGGTCCCCGTCGCCACGTCCAAGGACGCGGTGGCCAAGGTCCCCGTCGCAAAGGCCCCGGTGGCCAAGGTGGGGGTCAAGGTCGCGGTGGCCAAGGTGGCTGTCAAGGTCGCGGTGGCCAAGGTGGCTGTCAAGGTCGCGGTGGCCAAGGCCCCTGTTGCCAAGGTGGCTGCCAAGGCCGCCGTGGCCAAGGAGTCACAGTCTGGGCGGCCACGGACTTAGCGCCCACGCGTCCGCTTGGAGGCAGCAAGAGGCAACCTCCGCACGAGGTTCCAGAGTGGTTGGGGGGAGCAGGATAGTCAGATGGGGAAATATTGATGAGCAGAAGCGGGACGGGAGCGACTTGCAGGAAGCGCGTGAGGGGGAAGGGTGAGGAGGAGCAGCAGGAGGAAGGGCATGGAGGGGGGCATGAGGACAAGCTTAGGTGCGCTCGCGCCAGATCTGACACCTCACCCCTCCCGGCCAGGCCTTCCCATTAAGAGAGTGTTCTATATCCGCCGACGGGTGTCATACAGTCGGTGCGCGGAAGAAGGAACCTTTTTCGTTTGGGAGGGGCTCCGTGTTCCTGGGTTGTTTGACTGTTTGCCTTAGTTTGACCTTCGGTGTTCGAATGGAAATCGAGTTTAAACTTCAGGAAAGAAGGGGCCTCGTTCCTTATTTATCGTTCCTTAGGTTAACGCCCCGACTGTAGCGGACCTGGAACCCACCAAAGGACCCCATTGCGTCATTCGCAATCACAAGATGGTGGCTGCGGACATTGGAGGAGGAGGTGGCAAATGAACGAGAGGATGGCCCGGGGAAAAAAGGGGGGTGAGGAAGGAGGGGATGATGAGGAACAGCTGCTGTAGGAGCAGGAGTGGGAGGAGTGGGAGGAGCACAATGAGCGGGGAAAGGCGGGGGACGAAACAGGAGCGGGGCGACAACGATGAGGAAGTATTCAGATTCAGAAAGCATTTTGCGGGTGCTGGGGCGAGAGGGCCATTTTATTGAACGATGATGGGAGCAAAGCGTCGATACCTAAGATGAGGCCAGCGCTGCAGCGGGAGCACCACCACTCTGAGACACCGAGAACGTTCCGACAAATTAGTGACTGGACCTAGCAATGTTTGAAATCCTGTGTGGACACGGGCGCGGGGTGTGGGGGGGAACGCTCCACGCCCACGAGAGTAGCACTCTTGTTGGCTAAGGGGTGCGAGTTCTGGTTGAAGGGAGCAGCGTCGGGAGGAGTTGGAATGCAGGTGGGACGCATGGTCGTCCGCACCGCTCGGTCGTCGAAGTCCGAGACGAAGGAGGGGTATGCGCTGCCACAGGCCCCCTCCTCCTCCCTTCCTCCGCGCTCCCTTCCCTTTCTCCCCCCCTCTTCCTCCACCTCCTCTCCTCCTCCTCCTCCTCCTCCTCCTCCTCCTCCTCCTCCTCCTCCTCCTCCTCCTCCTCCTCCTCCTCCTCCTCCTCCTCCCCCCTCCCCTCCCTCCTCGTCTTCCTGCTCCTCTCCCGCCTCTTCCTCCCGCTTCCCTCCCCGCTCCCCGCTCCCTCCTCGCCCCATCAGCAGCTGCGCGCGGCGGCCGAGTACCTCCCGAGTGCACCGCGGCATCGCCAGGCGTCTTGCGTGCTCCGACTCGGTTCCAGTCAGGGCTGGGCCTAAAGGTCGTCTTTCTTTTTGTTTTCGTTTTTGTTTTTCGGTTTTCTCCACCTTTTTTATTGTACCCCCTTGCCAAAACGAGAAACAAAACGCAGCCGAAGTCCAGCAAAACAGCGTTTAGGTCCAGCCCTGGTTCCGGTCGTCGTAGAGGCTGGTGCACGATGAGCTTGCTATTTCTAGAGTCTTGCTATCCGCGACCGACTGTCTTCGCACCACGGGTCGGCGCAATTTTCGCGTCGGGCACCTCAGGCCATTGATCGCATTGGGTTGAGAAGATCATTTGGACCCCGCGGTGCCCGTGAGCGTTTGCTCTCGAATAGGACCCCCCACTGCGATCACATGTATTCGATATTTCGGCATCAGCATGAAGCGCTTCTCAATATTGGGCAGCTGTAGCGTCTGGATATGCACCGATGTGTCTCAGCCTTCATGGGGTTCGATGAGGTTTGGAGTTGATCATTGCGAGATGGGAGCTTCCGCAGATCCTCGGCACAGCTGCTTTCGGCAGAGGAAGGTATTGTTCGTGGTCGTCCCGCTTGGGGATAGATCGCGTGGCTGTACGCCCGATTGGCTGAACTGTTATGTCAATTATTCGCCTGTCTTTCAAGCGCCAGGCCATCGACCTTCCAGAAAGTCGACGTTTGTTTATTTTGAACTTTACCGAGGACTCGCTGAACCCGATATCGGATACCCGATCGAGCTATTTCAAGGATCTGTCTCGGCTCCTGTGCGCGAAGCCTCCGCAGCTCTGGGCCGCGATGACACTTAGGCCTCCACGGCCACGGGCTGGGCTTGACTTCGACCAGATGGCGGTGCAGGCCAAGAGAGGGTGTAACGAAAAGAAAGATGCGTGGGGGCAGGAGAGCAGGAATATGGAAAGGCAACACTAAGAACAGACAAAAGAGGAGGAAAAAGGAGGAGGAGGAGGAAGAGCAAGAAGAAGAGGCTGGAGAACTGGACACGGGAGGAGGGCATGTCGGGGCAGGGAGATCGGAGAAGGGAGAAGGGAGGGATGGATTGTACAACGAAAGCCTGGGGAGGTAGGAGTTTGGACTCACGGAGCAAGCTGAGAACCAGATCGAGATCCTTACGAGCCAGCCGTTGTTCCGGAAACACGTGTTCAGACGTCCTGCAGGAAAGAGGCAGGGCCCACGCACCACAGAGGGTTGATTGTTGACAGCATTCCATCGTTTTTTTTGTATCCGGTCCAGTGCCAGCAAGTGGCACGCTCAGTCACGCTGGCGCATGCAGTCCATAAGTTAGCGCGTCTTGGCGTAGCCGTCCAGGGAGCAACCGGAAAAGGACAGAGCTGTTCAGGCCGGCTCGTGAGCCGTCGCTGGAGACGGTGCGTAAGCGCAGAGCGAATCGATGCTTGTCCGAGCAGTTCTGCCTTGCTGACCGTACAGCGGGCGGGCTTCCCTGCCCCACGCTTTGCCCACGCTTCAACTGCAGTTTCTGTGCCAGGCATGGTGTCGGGCGTTGCCAGAAGTTGTTCTCCGCGCGGTGCACTGGGCTGAGTGGTTGACTGGCTACACCCATTAGGCTGGCGAGTCCGCATTCTATGCCGCAGCCGAAAGCAGGCGTTTTATGTTCAGTTTTTTTTGGGGGGGCGCCAAGTGCGCAACCACTTATGGATCCACTAGTAGACCATGATTTCCCGGCCGTCGAGTGCAGAAACCCACGGTGCAATCAATTGCAGGCAGTTTACTATCGGCCGCCGAGTGGGCAAAGGCATGCTGTTTCACTATCGGCCGTTTGGTGCGCAACCTGTGGCGAAACCCATGACTGGAGCATGGTGCACCTCATGGCGGAACCAGTAGATGGCACAACGCACAGATCGCGCAATGTATGGCGCAGCCCATGGATGGCGCATCCTACGGGCCACGGCGCACGCCACGGGTTGCGCAGCCCATGGTGCGCCACATTGGGGGGGGAAACGCGCAGAACCGGGCATCGGAGTCTTTGGGCAGTGGGGGGGCAATGGGGAGACAGGGGTGATGCACAGAATCGCATATGCGGCAGTGCTACGCTCACGATCTTCGATTGTTTTGCATATCATGCGCATGGGGCAGAAGATGGCAGGCGATATACCTCGACAGCCACTCCGTTTCCGCTATTTTCGTTGTGTCAAAGGGTCAAATCGACAGGTGAATGGCCGCGCGCCGTTGTTGCAATGCCATGTTTGCAACTGTCATGAGTTGCTGAATCCATACGATTGGATGGCCGCCAGACCCACTGGCCGTGAGCGATGTCAGCGTGCAAGCCCCACACATTATTATGTTCGAGCAGCGCACACAGAACCTTACTTGTATCATCAGGCGTAGATCGTCCAATGTGTATGGAAGACTTCTGCGTCGAGCCACTGCCGCCTCCTGCGTTCCTGGACACGCCGATGTGGCCACACCGTGGGCCACAACTCGGCCAAGCCAGTCAACTGTGAGTCCTCCCATCGGTCCTGGACCCCCTGGGGGAGCTGCTGCTGCGGACCTGGCGAGCGCGCGTGTTGGTCCACCACCTCAGGGCTTTTGGACAGCGAATTCGGCACAGCAAGAGGCTGGCACAGGGGGGCAGAGGCGGCCGCGGGAGGGGGAACAGACCACGAAGGTCTTTCGGGAGGCACACGGCGGCGCGCGCCCGGGCGCGGGGTGCAAGTACAGATAGCACGGTACCAGGTCCAGCAGGCTGACCCTTGGGGGAACACGTGGGGGAGGGAGAGGGACGGAGGAGGCGGTGGGGGAGGAGGGGGCTCCTTGGGGGCCTTGTGGGGCCTTCTGGGGGCTCGCTGGGGGCCCCTTGTGAGCTTCTGGAGGCCTCTGAGGGACCGCCTTGGCTTTCGAGCGCCTCCTTGGGGGCCTTACTGGGCCGTCGTTGGGCGCTTGAATGCCTGTTCGGGGACCGTTTTAGAGCAATCTATGGAGCCTCTTCGGTCCTTCCGGGGCCCGTCTTGGAGCCCTCTTCAGGTTTCCGGGGCCGTACTAGGGACATGTTGCCAGAAGTCCGAAAAGTCGAGAATTCGAAATTGTTGCGAACACTCAGAGAAAACAATGGTGTTGGCATCTTCGGGTTCTCCTGGAGGGCGTCTCGCGGTACTTGTGGGGTGTCTTGGAGGCTTCTTCGGCTGCCTCGAGGCAGTCTGAGGCCTCCTTAAGATGATCTTGGGCCGTCTTGGAGCCGTCGCGTCTGGCTTGGAGAGCTCACGTTTACCGTCTTTGAGGCGTCTTGCGCCGTCTCGGATGCCTCCTTGGACCGTGTTAGGCCGTCTTGACGGCCATCTTGGCAGGCATCTTGAAAGCCATCTGAGGAAGACCCTGTGGGTTTTTGTTCCGCGGGGGCGGCTGGATGATCCGAGACCCCATTGATAAATTCGGAACACCAATGATGCCGAGGCTGCAGCGCATACTGACCAAAACGATCGTAGTATACGCGCCCTGATGTAATCCCACGTGTTTTTTTTTGTTTCTCTCTTTTCCTCCTCCTCCCCCTCCTCCTCCTCCTCCTCCTCCTCCTCCTCCTCCTCCTCCTCCTCCTCCTCCTCTTGGTCGACCCAGTGTGACCCACTTGCGCGCCGCTCCCGCGTGTGATGTATCGCACAAGTACAGCTTCTCACCGGGAACCGACACCAGTGGCCCAGCGTGTAGCCAAGGCCCAGGCCTTTCTTTTAGCCAGCGTTCATGCCCACGCACCGCTTGGTGTATGGTTTGTCAGTCAGTCAGTCAGCCAGTCAGCGAAATGCTACTGTTTTGACACGCCGAACACCCTTTTGCAAGCGACGAGGGGCGGCGGATGTAGTGGCCTTCGGCCCATCCCGCCACTGTGCTTGGGTTTCGGACAATAAGTCCCTTTGAGGCCAAATAGGGACTGGCAGTTTTGTTTGGGGGGTCGGATCCCCCATAAAAAGAACGACTACGTACCCCCCCAGGGGGGTTCGGGACTCTGGAAAACCACGCTCGCCACCATTATTGTTTTCTGAGGCGGGTTCTGTCCCCGCCCCCCCAAACAAAAAACACATTTCCCTCCGTAGCGCTGTTTCTCGGGGGGGTCATCGAAATCCCGAAGAAACATGACCTGGAGACCGTCACCGCTTCTTCTCGTCATGGGAGGTCCCTGCTTTTCTGACCCTGGATCAGCCACTCCGCTCGCGGCTCTGCCGATTGGACGTGTGTTTCACATGGGCGGCTCAATCGGAGGATCGGGCCGGACGAAAGGGGGGGATAGGGAAAGGGGGGGTTACGAAATCTGTTGCCTACAACTGATTTCGTCAGAATCGGGTTAACGGGGTCTTTAGAAATTGGGCCGCGAAATGTGCGCGTAATAGTTCATCAATAGCTTATCTCTGCGATGCAATAGTTTGTGTTCTCGTATCCTTGGAGCACTAGTTTGCAATCGTTGGCCTGCCACGATGCAATAGTTGCGTCTGGTCGTGCAAAATGACGCAATGCTTGAGCCCGCGGGCGCAATAGTTCTCAACAGTTGCGCGCAATAGTTGCGCGCAATAGTTCCACGCAGCGAAATATTGCAGTTGCGGTTTGCGGCCCCATTTCCAAATGCCCCATTTCCCCGGATCCAGTTTCGGCCCCGCCGCCGGGCCCATTCCTCGATACATGGGCGCCTCCCAGTTTGGGGAGGCGCCGGGAAAATTAGCTACGTGAGCTGATTCTCAACCCCCCTTTGCTATCTCCCCCTTTCGCCCGGCCCGAGAGGACGAGGGGGAGGAGGAGGAGGAGGAGGGGGAGGAGGAGGGCCAGGAGAAGGAGGAGGAGGAGGAGGATCAGGAGGATCAGGAGGATAAGGAGGAGGAGGAGGAGGAGGAGAAGGAGGAGGAGGAGGAGGAGGAGAAGGGGAGCAGGAGGAGGAGGAGGAGGAGGAGGAGGAGGAGGACACGTGTCACGTGGGCGGTTCAGGATGAGGAGGCTGAGGAGGAGGGCCTGGCCATCAACGCTGCCATTCCGACCCAGGGCACCACACCCAGCGTAAGCCTCGATCCTTTCTTCAGAGCTGCGCAGCCTCGCAGGGACTGGTGACTTCACAACCCTGCCGACCCAAAAAATTCGCGCGCGACGGTGGCTGGAAGGGGAACATCACCGATCCCAGGAAGGGCGCCCAGCTGGACCGCAGGGTGGAAGCCTGCACCGCCTTCGAGCGCCTCTCACTGTGGACGAGCGGGGTCCTCAGCGGTCGCAAACATTTCAGGAGGGGAAGAACACACACAGAGGCATAATGAATCGTCGATCCCCAGGCAAATATGGGAACATATGGGAAGTGGGGGGAAGACAAAAAACCCGAACATATGGGCAAATATGGGGAATATTTTTATTTGTGTGTATTTATCTGTGTGTTTGTGGGCCCCTTCAACATTGCCAGCCGGCAAAAAGGAGCGTGGCGGTCCACGAGCGCGCGGCTTTGCTTCTCAGCAGGGCCCCGCGCCTCGCGCCTCTGGCTGCTGGACCTAAGCGGTGTTCTTGGTGATGCCGTGGGCCGTCTTCGTTTCGATGTTCGTTTTGTGGTAGAGGCGGATTCGAGACGAAAGCGAGGGACAATGGAGATGAAACGAAAACGAAGAACGACGTTTAGGTTCAGCCCCGCCGCGCTTCACGATGCTCGAACGGCCATGCTCCCCCTGCCCCCCTGGCGCACCGTGGAGGTTCGCGACGCCTCTCTTCAGAGAACGAGGCGCCGGGGCGCCGCAGAAGTTGGCCCGCCGGGGCAGCCCCGGGCGCTGGTTGCCCGTCGGTGCGCGCCCGTTCCGCCCCGCGCAGCTGTCGAGGAGCGCCGAGGGCTCAAGGCATCGCCACACCTTGCTCTCCTCACTCGACCGCGT